TGTCTTTAGACCGTATAGAGTGGCGCCAGTTATAACCAGCGATAAAATTAAAAGGATCTTTAAAAGTGAGTCACTTTTCTTGAGCTCGTTAGACTAATTTACTTTTTAAAAATCGATCTGGGGGGCAGGAAAATACCGTAGGCTGAAAAGAGAGGTAAGCAATAAAATACACTTTAATATTTTAATAATTAGTCTAAGGATTTTTGAATCCATAGTAACGTTGCTATGGTAACCGTTGTTATAGTAACCGTTGCCAAAGTGGTCACCATAGCAATGAAAAGCGACAACAATGAAAACGTCACATCAACTTTTTAATAAAGGATTATTGTTTATGTTACTTAAAAGACAAAATATAAAAGTTATTCAAAAATTATTTTTGTCAGAAAAAAATTGAAATTTGGAAAATAATATTTTCAATCTGCGATGGTATAGCTATTAATATTTAATATTATTCACTTTAGAATCATAATGACATTGCATTATCATGCCAGTATTCTGAATTTTTCCTTAATTTTGAGATAATAATAATTATACATTTCTCAACGTATAATGCAAAGTATTTTTGAGTTCCAATAACTGCTAATTTTCTTCAAAATAATTTTTGGTTTTAGTTCAGGAATATTTCTCCTGAATCAAGTAATATTCATCTTCAGTATGACTTCTATAATTAATTTTAAACTACTTAATGAATTTAAAAATTATTTCTTCACACGAATCTAAAGTTTTAAAATTGATCAAAAATTTGAATTTTCAATTATTCTTAAATTCTAATTTTTAACTATTAAAATAAAATTGTGTTACAAAGTTACAACCCTAAAAAATATTCTTAAAAATTATCTTTACTTACAATTTATTTGTCGGATGAAAAAAATTCAATAGTTTTTTTTATTGTAAATTTTACCATCTAGATCAAAAAATTCACCTTTTCTTTTTGTCTCATATATAAATATTAATAAAAAAAATGGAACAATATATCAACCGTTGAAGCTATTATTGCTTCTGTATTGACTCCTCTGAAAATAAAAAAGGCATTAGTGGTATGGAAGCAAGGAATTAAGGCAGAAAGAATAGGTTGGACGGATTTGTTAGACGCGTGCTCCGTGTGATAGGATTATGTTCACCGAGGAATAAGAAGAATACGTGGATGTGAACACGGGTGGGCAATGAAGAAGCCAAAGTAAAGCAAGAGCCAAATAAAAAGAGCCTTCCTTCCTTCGGAATCTTCAAACTACGAGATGCTTTTTCGGGGGCAGAATGTTGGCGCCGGTTCTTTTACTTCCTCTCACCACATTCTAGACATCCCATTTACACGCTCTTTTAGTTTTGCTTTAAGCTTTTAATTTACTTGATCTTTTTTTCGTCCTTGACTAATTAACTAAGTACCTACCTTTGTAGTTCCTCATGTTAAAAAAAAAATTTATTTTATTCTTTAAAATATTTTTAAAAATCAACTGCCGTCGGAAAAATATGATTTAATTATTTGTTAATACATATTCTGTTGAGTTCTTGATATAATAATATAATCATATTAATTTACTTGTGCTTAGATGAAAAAATTTTTTTGAAGTGATAATTTTGTAAAAAGTATTTAAAAAAATTGTACTTGTATGAATTTTGTTAGGGTTGTCTTTTAATCTATATTATTAAGAGAATAAGCAAAATTTTTTGCTTATTCCAGTTTATTTATATGATAAAATGGGTTTATATGGTTAAATTTGGTATCGTTGGAAAAGTCTTGACCTAGAGTTGTGCCTTTTCATGGTTTCATATCATTCTCACCAATAGTAAATAGTAAATTCATGAGGATAAGTATTTAGGCTGTATTCGAAAATGTTCTATCTCTAGATACATAATTAAGAAATTACCCTGTATCTCATGAATTATTGACATTTTTAAAGATATAAGCTCATCCCGATGTTACACTCATCAATACTTTTCATTTGAGTACCCACATCAATTTTTCATATATTTATATATATTATATATGTGTATATATGAAAAATATATCAAAATGCATGTGGGTACTCAAATGATAGCTCTTGATGAGTGTAACATCAAAATGAGCTTATATCTTTAAAATATATATTATATATATTACATAATTAAGAAATTACCTTGTATCTAGTGAACTATTGACATTTTTCCAGAATATAAGCTCATCCCGATGTTACACTTATCAAGACCTTTCATTAAAATACCCACATTAATTTTTCATATATTTATATATATTATATATAGGTATATATGAAAAATATATCAAAAATGCATGCGGGTACTCAAATGAAAGCTCTTGATAAGTGTAACATCGGGATGAGCTTATATCGTTAAAAATGTCAATATTTAAGAAAGTACAGTGTAATTTAACAAAAATCATTATTCAATAAAGCAAAATTTTATTTATTTATAGTTGACAAGTCACAGCAGTCACATAGTGACTGCAAAGGTTGCTAGTTATCATTATTCTTTAATAAATTTAGATAATAATTTTAATAAAAAAATTTTAGAGACATAGAAAATAAAGATTTAAAAAAAATGTAATTAGAAAATAGATTGGTATTTTTAAATACATGATGGTAACCATCATTATCTTGTGATATTAAATATTATCAGCGGTAATTATAACAGTTGTTATATTTAAATAATTATCTAAGATGTTAATCATTAAAATTGAACGATATTAGTTATTGGGTATTACAATAAAAGCGAAAATTTTCTTATTGATATTTTTCTTTTACAAAATTAATAAATTTAAATGGTCCAAATTTTTCTATCTAATAAATTTTTTTTTCCAGCGTATGCGATTATTAAATTAAATAATAAAAAAAATGAATCAATCGTCCCTCGATCGAATAAAATTATAAATATATTTTAAAACTAGATAATAGAAATTAAAAAATAGACCAAAAGAAATGTTTATAGCAAACCCCATAACTTATAACTTATAACAAATACCAGGAATACCGTACATTCTCTTCCCGAACAATTATCATTTTTCGTCCGACATTGTCCGATGAGCGTATATCTCTCAACAACGAGCGATAAATTATACTCTTGGTAGGGATACATTATAATGCGCCCGTTCTTCGTCTTATTTTTCAGTAATATAAGTCTTGACCGCAGATCTCCGGTAAAAGTACATAATATAAGGGTAAGACTAAGAAAAGACTACACTTACTCCATACCAACACCAAAGACTCGACTTGAGATCACAAGAGAAAAGAGACAGACCCACTAATATAATGTAAATCCACATTCACGCAACACAAGTCCGGATCATACACATGTGTTGTTTTCTTCTTTAAAAATTTAAGTATGTAAGAGATTAAAAATAAACAAACAAGAGTTGGAGTTTGTAGTGAGGGGCGGCGCCACGTTTGCGCCGTCCACTCTTAATAAAAAAAAAAAGTAATAAATAAACAAATAAAAAAAAAAAGGAATATTGCCGGCGAGACCGGCTAACATGGAATAGCCCTTAGCGTTCTCCGGGCCGGCACGATAGCCGCTCTTTTAGGCTGATGGACTTTCCTCTCACCTTCCTACCCTTCATCACTCAATGCTTTTTACCCTCCTCTTTCTTTATTTTTACCTTTTTTAATTTATTTTTATTTATTTACATATTCTGAATACAAAATAATCGCAACCATATTTCTTCACAACTATTTTATTGATCATAATCATAATATAGTACAAATTACTGCTACCTTACACTCTAAACTTAGACAATAATTATAATAAAAATAATAATTATTTTTATTATTAACCTCAAGTGAATTAAGGGAATTTTTTAGTCTAGAAGCATGAATATCAAGTAATTTTTTGCCGTAAAAAAAGCAATCAATATTTTTACTATCCATTTTTTTTTATAAGTTACTTATTATGGAGGAATAATTAAAGATTATTACCCTAAATTTTTATTAAAAAATATTTAATTATTACGAAGTTATTGACAATTGTTTTAAAGATTTTTTTAGACGGATTAAAACAAAAAAAATAAACAGTAAAAAAATTTTCAGTCACCATTTTTTTTTAAATAAAAATTTTTTAAATTCCGTAAGTGCGACGATAACTACATCTCTACTGATTAAAAAGCAATTTGAGTTTTTATTTTCAAATGATCCGTTTTTGAGTTATCCAACCGACCAACAATCTCTACGAGATTGTTAATAACTTTGTAATAATTTAATATTTTTTAATAAAAATTTAAGGTAATAGTCTTTAATGTACCCTTAATAAAATAAAAAAAATTCGATCCACAAATTTCTTCATTTTCCCTGTCAAAAAAATTCCCGAAAATCACCACTTTTTTCGATCGTCACAGTGGTGTTCCCCTTAACATTGCAAGAATACAGAAAAAAATAAAAAAATATAAAAGATCATTAATCCAGAGTAATGTTGCTATAGCATGAACTATAGTCATCCCCAAATTTTAATTTTTACTATTTATAAAAAATTTGAAAAAGTCAAAAAAAGTATTTTTTTGTCAGACAGTCGCTATTTTAAAAAAAAATTTTTTTTCCAACTTTTCCCTAGTTCATGGCATAGCGACATTACTCTAGATTCTTAATAATATTTTTTTATTTCAGATTGCTAGAAGGTTCATCAGCTAATTTTTTGAATTTTCAACTTTTTTTTATTTTTTTCTGTATTCTTGCAATGTTAAGGGGAACACCACTGTGACTCTCATTAATTGAAAAATTTAAGTTATTTTATATAAACCAGTCATACACTTTACTCTTAAAAATTTAACAGTAATTTCAATGTAAATATATATATATATATATATTTATATTTATAAACTATTTTTATACTTATAACTATAGATATTATTGTTAAAATTAATATTAGTACTAGCGTTAGGCATTTTTTATAAATATTTAAATATTTAGGATGCCTAGTTACTAATTATAGGTAAGTACGAAAACTAGGAGTACGATTGTCGATAAGAGCTTGGTAACAGCAGTCGATAAGTGGCTTGAGTGTGCTATCGACGGGCGAGAAGATCATGGTCGGTCGGTATCTGAGACCAGCGCTGTTGACGTTATCACCGTCAGATCCGATGACTTGTTAATAGTGATTGGTTCTAATGGGGGCACACTGAAAAATTTATTATTGTTATTAGAACAATGTTGTTGTGACTTGTTTTCATTTTCATTAAAAAATTTTTTTACATAAGATTAGTTTGACGATTCAATACCGCAGCAGAGGGTAATGCTATCGGCGAATGCGCGTGCCCCAATTGAGTTGTTATTGTACTCATGTAATCGTCCTCAACCCTTTCAACGCTCCCACCCCTATTAGTGAGCATGCTCATGTGCAACTTTGAATCCACTGGAATAATTATGTCATATAAGTCCTATACGATTTTTTTTCTTTAATTTATCATTATATTCATTTTACTAAGAAGAATAAGCATCGACTAGACACAATAAAGCACACATAAAAAATTTAGTCATTTTTAAATTAACTTTCCGGTTAATTGTTCGGGGTGAAAATTTTATGAAAAAATTTTAGTTAAATTAGAACATACATCTTTTACAAGTAAAAAAAAAATTATTTATTTTTCTACGATGTAAAATGGTTTAATAATTACAAAATTGCACGCCTCATAATTTTATTTTCCATAATGAAATTGGTTAAAATAAAATACATAAAAAAAATAATAAAAAACAGAAAACTTTGCTCTGGTTTAGTGGCGCCATAATTTTAAAGTGAGAAAAAAAATACTATAATGAAATGTGTATATAGATATACAAATACATAGTCGTATCTTATTTTTTTATAAATAATAATTAAACGACAGTGAATTGAACGCTTATATTAACTGAGAAAGTCCGCAATGTGTTACTTTAGATGATAAAAAGAAATTATTCCGGTACGATAATTTTTTAAAATAAAAAAAAAATTTTCGACCGTCTAATTATTTATAAATAACGAATTAAAGCAACAATATATGAAAAAGTATTCATCACGGATACAATCTTGCGTAAAAATTATGGATTACTTAGCTACAAGCTCATATACTTTAGCGGCGCGTATAATCTCTAATTTTTGAAATATATATTTTATGTGCCTGACAGATTATTTGACTTGATAAAAGTGCACTCATATTATCCTGTAAGTGCGATATAAGTAAAAAAGAATCCCGGAAAAAATTTTAAAGTTATGAAAAATTCATATTATTTCATTAAAATTATTATAAAATTATTATAGAATGGAGCGATCATTCTGAGGGTGCTTGTTTTTCAGAAAAATTGTGGATGTGATACGATCACTAGTATTATTTTTATTTTACAACAATTTTAATGAAATAATATAAATTTTTCATACTAAAAATTTTTTCCGGTTGCCAATAAAAAAAAATCAATTTTATTTTATGAGGCGTGCAATAACAATTATAACATATGATTTAAATAAAAAGTATAAAAACAACAGATGGGACTTTCCTATAACCCTTATTAATCATTCTATAGATCGGTACATTTTTATTTTCCCGTTTTAGATTATTTACCCCCTTACTACACACTGCAGACGCCAGATAATCCGCGCAAGCGTGCAATGAGGAAAAATTATCGCTATGACCCGCGTTATCGCGTTTATTCATTTTACTCTGACCAATCGCTATCATTTAATTAATATCACTCGCACATGGTAAAGTGTATCCGACCCTCCCCTATAATCAATTGTCCGCCATCATACATTCAACACTCTACAAGTAACATGCAATAATGTGAATTTATCTATTCAATATTTTTTTTATTTTATTTTATTATTTCAATTGAAATTGAATAAATATGGCCTTTTATACTTGATCTCAGGAATGTAAAACGGACAAGTTTATATAGTTAATTAAATTTTAAAAATAAATACTGTAGAGCAAATATTATCTTATCCAATTGGATCACTACGGATTGTAGACATCGATAAGAGAAATGTATATCCCATATAAAATTTTTATAGAATTATTTTTTATGATTTTTTTTTTCTTGAGAAAATTAATAAGTCATTAAAATTTTGAACTTACAAGACTATTTATACATTAAAGACTTAAATATAGATAAAAAAAATTGCTCACCAAAGACTCACCGAGTAAATTGGGTTTCATCTCGGATTTATTCATTCCTGCGCTAGGTCCTGCAAGTACTCCAGACATTGCTGAGTGATTTTTTGGTTTTCTTTTGCGGGTTTGGATCCCGTCTTTTTTCATACTCATCGGCCTGTTTACCTATAATTCAAAAAATTAAATAATAATAATAATAATAACGTTAATTTATAATAAAAATAATTTATCAGCTTTATCGGATAAATTAAAAAATGTTTACGTTTTTAATAATCGTTTATTTTTTGCGATTATAAGATATGACGGTAAATTTTGCTCATTGCAAAAAAGAGAAGAAAAATAGTCCAATAATAATATATCGGCTGTTATCGGTTGAGAATATGTAGAAGATAAGCGCCGATTACTTATTGAGATCTTTATCGATTTACACTCTGAAGATGATGAGCATATATTGTTTTTTTTGCATGATTTTAAAATTGTAGAGGGCCGAATTTTTTACTAATTAAAAACTTGATTTTTTACATCAAAATTACATCTTTAATATTTACTAAAATTATTGAAAAAAATTTGACTTTGTTCCTTGAACATTTTAGAATATATTAATAATTTTTTAAACGTCTTTGAAAACGTTTAATTTCTTAAAAAAATTTGGAGCAGTTTGTTGACCAGTCTAGGGTTAAATTCACTGTCATTTAATTTACCGGGAATAAATTTGAAAATTTTGGTAATGTAAAAATTGTACGAACTTTTGTTATACTAAACAAAAGATAAATTTTATTACAAATCATTTATATGATAAAAACAATAATATTATTTCGTGTTTTATAAGGTATCTAAACACGTGTTAGATAAAACTAATAAATAGGTTTATTATCGATTAAACAATTAAAAATTCGGAAATTAATTATTTTAGAGTTACTAAACAATGATATTAAAATTGATAATAAAAATATTGATATGAATTTTTTATTCTATCATTTAAAAATTAATTAAATTTGATCTAACTTTTGGAATTAAGATTAAATAATTTCAAATTTAAAAATTTTCTATTAAATATAAAAAAATGCTTTATAAAAAAAAAAAAACATTTTTCTAATGAAAAATTTTATCCTTAAATTTAAATTTTGAAACAAAAATTATTTTACAAGAAAATGTTTTAATTTTTCGACAAAAATAGCAAAAAAATTAAAATAAATCAATTAAATAGTCACATTTGTTAAAAATATGAATTAATAAGATAAATAATTTTTTTTTTGCAAAAAATTAAATCAATACTATTCAAAAACGATCCATTAGTTTAAGTAATCTTTATCTGTAGCAATAAAAAATATCTGAAGAATTTGCAATGATTCTTTAAGCACAAATAGATTAGACGTGACACAATTGACAATTTCTAAAAGTATAACCGTTTGATTTAACGATAGTTAGTGAGTCAGATTTTTCATAACTTCCGCCGCGGGACCTGTTAGCCGGAAATTACATTACGGAAAATAAATATGTGTCTAAAAAAGTAAAACATCGAAAATTGTAGGTGTAAATATCCTAGAGCTCTTGTATTTTCTTATTTAGGTTTCCTCCAGCCCTTTAATTCCATCAAAAAATCCAATATAATGATAATGATAATAATAATAATATTTAAAGTGTAGAGTCTAGAGTCTAAAGCCGACATGACGAAGGAAATGACACTCAAACAACAAAACCCGAGAGCTCGAAAAACAAGAAAGGAAAACAGAAAACGAGTAAAACAAAGAAAACGCTGATGGAATAAAACCATAAATAAATGTCATAAAGTTCAACGAACTTTGTTTGCATAACTTTTTATAACATTAAACAATTATTTTAAAACAAACTCTGCTCTCAAGCTTATAGCTGTACTATAACTCTGCTGTAAACGGAGCAATAGAAACATTTATATTATATATAATGAATAATGAATAATAAAATATAATGTTATTGTTAAGCTTGTAAAACTTACATTGTGAAGTTTGTAGTAAAGCCCACAAGCATTACAAACAGGTTCACCGTTGTTATTTCTTCGCCATAATGTTGTGTTACTCGTGTTACAATTTGCGCATTGAATACCTGCTCGTCGACCGCTCTGAAAATTTCAATTTTCATAATTTATTATTTTGATATGACATTAAAGTTTGACCATTTTTTAATTTTTTTTGATAAATAAATTTGCTCCGAAAAATTATTTCTAAAAAATTGCATTTTTTAGTTTTTTTATTTTCTAAATGTCAATTTTTTTTTCTTATTTTCTTTGACATAATTTATTTGTTGAAAAAATTCTTAAAATTATAAAATATCTGCTAAATTAATTTTCATTATTTTATGACATTAAAGTGAGCAGTCGCTTGACCATTTTTTAAATTTTTTTAATAAATAAATTTGCTCCGAAAAATTATTTGTAAAAAAATTGCATTTTTTATTTTCTAATTGTCAATTTTTTTTCTCATTTTCTTTGACATTATTTGTTTGTTAAAAAAATTCTTAAAATTATAAAATATCTGCTAAATTATTAATTTTTATTATTTTGATCCTTAATAACGAAAAAATTGGAACTTAAAAATCATCGTCACTTTATTAAATTTTTTTTTAATCTTTATAATTGATTAATTTTATGGTTCACACATAAATTGGTACTTAAAATTTTTTCTATAAAGTCAAAAGTATTTGTAATAATTTAAAAATATTATTTTTTACTGCCCATTTTTCAATGAAAAAAATTTTTTACTAAAAAAAATTGTTCGTAAAACTAAATAATAAACTTTTTTTCAATTGATAAAAAATTATAATTAATTACAGTAATTATAGATTAAGACCTGAAATAATTTATTTAAAAAAAAAAATACTATGATGCTCTTTAGCAAATTTTATTAATTTGAATTTTCTTAGTTAAAATACTTTTTTTTCTACTTGAAATAAAATCACGAAAAAAAATCGGCCTGCTACAAAAAGTTCAAGATTTTCTTCCTTATTTTTTTTGAAAGCATATATGTACTTTATATAAATAAATAAATAAAATAAAAAATGGGCGGTCCCGTCATCAGGTAAGTAAACTAGAACAAACAACACCCGCCTCGTCCCGACCTTTGTTATTTGCTCTGGTTTGAGATAACAACCGAGCGTTTTCTTCTCGAGAGCACAAACATTACTTAATGTAATAATATCCAAGTCAAGTTGTGTCGCAGTACAGTACAATCGCGTGTGATTGTCGCTGTACATATATGTACATGTGTAATAATATAACAAGAGTAGAGAGTTGAAGCAAACCCTAAGCGTCCATAGCGCGGACTCTTATCAGCACAAATACCCGTGGCCTCGTTTCTCGATGGACAATTTTTTGGTATCAGCCAAATAGGGTTTAGCCAAATAGATGGACACTATATCGTAGATCATGATAGCAATAATAATAATAATAATAATTTTATCAAAATTTTTTCTTGTGAAGATCAATTTTTAATTTTGAATAAAATTGTTGAATTCAGGAATTTAATTACAAAATAATAATAATAATACAAAATATTTTTGATTCAATTCTTTAACATTGAACTCAAACTAAAAAACTTTCTAAAAATCAATTTTTCCTTTTTAACAAAAACCGTCCTTAACATATAAACTAATTTAGGTACTAGTTCGTTAATTAGTGGACTAATGCCTCTTACAAACTACAAATGTCAAACTTATATCCAGTACCCTTAAAAACCTAACAATTATTTCTTGCCTGATCATAAAATTCATTAAACACGCTCAAAAGTCAATTTTCTGTTCGAAAAGAAAAATGAAAGTGATCGAAACATTTCCAAATCCATTAGAATCGTTAAAAACAAATTTGTCCCCAGAAGCGAAAACTCATTCCAAAAACATGACACATCGACAATACATGTACTTACATCTAAATCATAATAACTGTCACGTCGTTAAGTTTAAGTCCCGGGATTCCTTAAACATAAAACTAAATACTGTACTTATACTTATGTTAAAAAAAAAAAAACGGCCAAGTCATAGAAAATGTAATATCCTGGATATATGACAAAATCTTGAGCAAATAACTTTAGAGGTCATAATAAACGTTTAATTGTCAAGTGACTCATTTATATTTTCAGAGCTTATGACCGTGATTTTTTTTAAATTAATTATTAAAAATATAAGAAATTTTTAGTCTTTAAATTTTTAAAAATTTTAATTGATTAATTTTTTTTTTTCACTAAAATTCTTGAATTTTAAAATATAATTAAATTATTATTATTATTATTATTATTATTATTATTCAAGATGATAATAGTTATCATTAAAGATTAAAAATATTATTTTCAAAATTTGAATTTTTTTCACACTGACAAAAAAAATAAAAAATAAAAAAAACTTACCGCAGCAATAGTCTGTTTCATTTTGGAATTATATCTCATGGTTCCCCTACTCGCGCCATTGGGTTTGTTGTAAATTTTACACGTATTGCACAAAAAATGACCGGTACCGTCTCGTCTCCAGAGCGTGGTCATGTTGGCAGCGCAGTTAACGCATTCCTTGGTCTCAGTCATGACAGTTCCGTCGAAGGTTTCGTCAGGCAAGCTACCCCACGGGGAGGGCGACCCGTTGCTCGCGGTTACATATCCACCCCCGTTGTACATTAATCCCGCGGAGTCGCTCGCCGAAATGGTCGCTACGCCCGGGTAGCCTTGGACGTACTCCAAAGTCGGCGGGGAAGAAGAACCTGCCGGTTGCCAGTAGGCTTCTCCAGTTTGTTTTACGTACTGGAAGGTCGGGGTTCCGGGTGCTCCGTAGATGGTCACTTGAGAATTCGGGGAACCCGGTTGTTCGTGGTACAGCTGCGTTCTTCCACTGCCGATTAATGAGGAAGATGTTAAGGTTGGATCGTTTTTTATGTACACTCCTGTTGGCGCTTCGACCTGTTCAATAAATGACCTTTTACTATTGTAATTTTAGAAGAAAATTACTAATGATAATAATTAAATAATTTAATCTTGAAAATTTGGACAATAAATGAAGATATTAAATTATAAGAATTGCTTGTCCAAATACTCAAGATCAAGTTATTTAAATATTTTAAATACAGACGAGAACTTAAATAATAATTATGAATAATAATATTTTTCTTATAATTTTGACAAAAATCGCTAAAAAATTGTCGAAATGGGTGATTAAAATATCAAATTATAAATAAATATATCAAATTAAAAGTTTATAAAAAATTTGCAAAATGAATGCGGAGTGGATTAATTTTTAAATAATTTAATCCCTCCAGAGTTAAAATCACTTTGAAAAAGATTTCAATTATATAATTAATTTTAAAAACTTCTTGGAGTAAATTAATTATTTATTTTTAATTTTTAATAAAAATAAAAAAATAGTTTATTGTATTTTATTTAAAATTGTAAAATGCGTATTTAGAGATTTTTAAAATTAATATAATTTTTTTCCAATATTTATTACAAAGAATTAATATTTAAATATAAAATTGCAATATTTTTGTTTTTAATTTTTAAAAGCATCATTTTTTAATAAATTTTCACTATAATAATATATTTGTTCTAAAAATTTCCATATTTAATTACTTTTTGTGTCATAATTAATCAACAGGACTTGAAAACAGTATAATTATATAAATTTTTTATAATTAATATTTACAAACTTAAACTTTAGATAAATTATTTTAAGTATTTGTTAATAATTTTTCGACTAAAAATTAATTCCATCCTAAAAACTACCCAGAAATTTTTCAGATCAAAATTTGATCTGAAAAAATGAGAGTAATTTTTTATAATTAATAAAAAATACAATTAAAATGTAACCTCAGAGCTTCTATTGGATTGTCCTCCAGGATAATTAAGATAAGTAATTTCCGGTTTAGCGTATCCATAACTACTGGTATGCTGAAAGCCTTCAGGAACGTACTGAGCATATTGGACCGTCTGAGCTGGTGGTAGCGCAACAGTCTCCAGAGTTGTGTAAGTACTACTGGTTTTGATGCTCTCTGTAGCAGCGGCGACAGCAGCTGCTACGTCATACTTGATCGTCGCTTCAGGATATCCTGAAACGAGTTGGTGCTGCGTCGTCCTGACGACGTCGACGGGCGTGGAATAAGAAGGCGAGCCTAGAACTGTCGAGCCTGGCTGAGACATCGAGACACTCGGCTCAAAATCTTCAGAATTAGAAGACTCGTATCTGCTGGTGACTTGTCCGTTTTCGTGGGCATGGGGACTGAATCGATGGGACTGGGAGTGGTGGTGATGGTGGTGGTGATGATGAGGGTGCTGGTGTGGGTGGTGGTGGCGTCGCCGGAAATCTTCTTGCATCCTCTGGACCTGGAGGAGTATTGGAACCTTTCCTGCGTCTGTCGCGTCTGAGTAAACATAGACACGCTCTACTTCTGGTCTTTCTGCTGTTGCATATCTGCAGATTAATTATTAATTATAAAAGATTAATTTTTATTGGGATTTATAAGATGATTAATTGTTAAGAAAAATATTTATTTTTAAATTAAACTCTCGATTAAAAGCTACACTGAGAAAAAAAATTTCTATTAAAAAAATATAGGCGTTCTTGTGACTATAAATGAATCTGTTGGAAATTTTAAACAATTTTATTTCTCAGCCGAAGAAATAACTTTCTTGTTGGAAAAAAAACTAAAAAAACAATTTTAAATAGACGACTTGAGAATTTTCATCAAAAATTTTTTTTTCTCAAATCTAGAAAATTTTTTTTCATAAGAAAATTGTTTAAAATTTCCAACAAATTAATTTCTTTTCACAAAAATTTTATAAAAATTTATTTTTTATCAAAATAATAAGAAGAATCAGAGAGTACTTTGAATTTGATTTCTTTTTATAATTTATTGAGCATTATAAGTCGTGCAATTAAAAATTTTCAAACATTTTAATCGTAATAATATTCTACACTTAATATTTATTCAAAAAATAATTAATAAATAAGAAAAATGTAACTGATGTCAACAAAATTATCTTAACAAAAATCTTTTTTCTCTTAAGCATATGCTTGAAACAAAATTATAAAATTGTTAGAAGAAAAAAAAATACTATTTTTATTTTTTTGAAATTGCTATTGGATAAAAAAATTACTGTATATTGATTAAAGGTAATTTACTTTTAAATAAAGTGACAGAAGTTATCGACCAAAGGTACAGATTTCTCTAGCCAAGAAGTTAGAATTCAAGACAAAAATTAATTAAAAAAAGAAACATACTTAGGTGGTTCCTTGAGTGACAAAGTAATAGGATGTCCCTCAGAATTTTGGGTCTCAACTTGTAATTCCTCGCCGTTGCTCGTGTAAACAACCTGCTGGTTACTATCAGGACTGCCGTTATCTGCCGGCAGATGAATGTAAGACTGTTCCGCGTAATGCGAGCTCTGTTCGGCGTGTGGATGTTCCACACCTTGCCCCTGAAGGAGCTTGTTACTGCTATTTATGTTATTATTATTATTGCTACTACTATTATTATTATTATTATTATTATTATTATTATTATTATTATTATTATTATTATTATTATTGTTGTTGTTATTTTTGTTCTCCCCCGGGCTGGACACTGGCGAAGGTTCCGAGTCCTCGGCAAGGGTCTCCGTAATGTGTCCCGTCGTAGTGATCGTCCTGACGTGCCGACGCGTCGTCGTCACTATTGGAGCACTCACAGGACTTCCACCGGCTTGTTCCTCCGCGGTCCTCGGAATCTGCGGCGACGTTTCTTCAGGATGTCGCGCCTCCCAATCGACTTTTGTCTCCTGCTTCAGCGAATTTTCTTTCATCGTGTCCTGGAAAAGCATTTTTTAATTTTCATTTAGAATAATCATTAATTAATTCTTTAATTTTAATAATTAATTCTTTAGTTTTTAATAATTAATATCTTCTTAATAATTTTGTTAAGAGTTAAGTTAATTATTAATATTAAAAAAATTAACAATTTGATTTTTAAATAAATTATTTAAAATTTCGAATGAGTTTAATAAAATATTATTATTTATAATTTTAGTAATTAGAATTTACTAGAAAATTTTAATTACTTAATAAAAAAGAATAAATTAGATAAATTTTTATTGTGTGATTTATTTGTAATATTTAAAAACAAATTTAATAGCATATATTTTAAAAAAAGTTTTCATTATTTTTTAATAAAAAAAAAATTTTTTTTTTGTCAAACTTCGACAAATTTTAAGTTAGGGAATAAAATGTAACATTTAACTGCTTGTCCCTTTACATTAATTTACAACAAGAATTTTTGAAAAAAAAAAATTATGGTAACTTCTCCGAAGGATTTTTGGTTTTTGTTAAATTTTTCCAATTTAAAGAAAAGCACCATCACATAATTTCATCAAAAATTCAACAAATAAATTACTAAACAATTATTTTAATTTTTTTCTCGAAATTCATAGACTGTACTGATAAAAAAAAAATAATTTTGAACCGCAATGAATTAATTTTGAAGAATTTCATCATTTTGAATCAATCAAAAAAAAAAAAATATTTTTATTTAAAAAAAAATTCTACTGGATAAAAAAAATTAGAAATAATCAAACTTTATATACAGTAAAAAATTTTGCGTCATTGCGTTAAAAAACTTAGTGTTAAATATTCAACACTTTTACGTGTAAATTTAACATTTATTGTGTTAAATTAACCCAAAAGAGTGTTAAATATTTAACATAAAAATTTTTTACTGTGTTTCAATGCAATTAAATTCGTTAATCAACAAAATTTTGAAACCCTTTTATCAAAATATCAAATTCTATATTATTTTTACCCAACTTACAATAAAATTTTAATTACTAAATTAAATGACCACTAAAATAAAATAATAAATAAATTTTTTAATCAATATTGACCCATCCGATTTTATAAATAAAAAAATTTACTACATGTTTTCTTCCCAACCCCCTCAGCTCTCCCGCAATTACTTAAATAATTTCTCCAGTGAATTAAAATAATTTTATTTTCCACCAATTTAATTCTCGTTCCTCTAAAATACAACTAAAAAAAGACACGCGACTCTGTACACAGAACACACTGGTTACCAGGCACTCTTTTATACATACATCGATATTACACATACGACACACCTTGTCCGTCATTCGAAAAAAATTGTTCAAGACCAACGTTGGTTTATTTGCCAAAGAAACGCGTCACTTCCGCTCGTAATGTCAAACTCCAACTTCCGCTCTTTAAAATTTCACTTATTTAAAATTTCTGAATTCCAGACTCTATTTATAGAGGCAAAAAAAAATATGTTCAAATTTTTCTTGTTAAAAAATTGGAAAAATTACCTCAATAGTTGCGTGACGCATTGGAGCGTTTTTTTTATTTTTTAAACACTGCTGTAAAAAAACAAACCAACTCTCAGGTGTTGTAAAGAGTACCGGGAGGATTTTTAAACGAGCCCGATACCGATGGGTTGAGAATCTGACGGTGACTGACGAGACCCTGAGGAGCTGGGACTGAGGTACGTTCAAAGAAGGTAAGAGATAATGACTGCAGAGAGAGACATTAAAAGCGTGTTGATGTGGAGGTGGAAGTTGTCGTGGTGGTCGCGTGTCTGCTTGCTCTTTGGTATTCAATAGTATTATATTAATATAATATATATATAATATGAAATATTTTATGTTTGTATTATTTATTTTTTATATTCATTTTATTTTATGCTGGATTGTATTGTAGGGTCATTGATGTAAGTTTTATTTTTAAAATATATTTAAAAAATATATTGAATAGGAATTACTAATAAACAAGGGACCAATGGTCTACTTTGATGATTGTGATGGGTGATGGTTCTATTCGCGATGAGAAACCCGAGATATAAGGAGAGAAAAGGACGAATGGGTGCACGGGAGCCGAGTAGAGAAGGTGCTCATTGGACGGCCTCCCCACTGTGCTATTGGTCACTCGTTTTGTTTTTTACTTTGTTTCGCTGATTAGCGAGGATGGAAGTCGGTGATGGCTGGTGTGGAGAAAAATTATTGCGAGGAATTTTTATTGGTTTAAATTGATTTTATTTAATGTTAAAATATTTTATCTTGATTGAAAATAATTCTTTTCTTGGTTCAAGAATATTTTTTAATTTTTTTTTCAAGGCTTTAAAGGCTTTAAACTGAAGTAAAAATTTTACTTATTGAAAGACTAAAAAAAAAAAAATTGAATCAAGAGAAAAATTCTTGAACCCAGAAAATAATTTTTAAGAGTTTTATTTATGTCTTGGATTAAAACGAAAAATTCTTTAATCTAGTGAAATTTAATTAAACTAAGAAAAATATCTTAGTTTAAGAATTTTTTTACGCAATTTAAAATCATTCACTTGATTAAAGTATTTTTTTTCTGTGTAAATTATGAAAAGTACAAATTATTTATTTATTACTACAATTTATTTATTTTGAATTTACTAAAAATAGAGAAAAACAACATATCAGTTATATAAATATTTATTGGACACATTTCTTTTTCCTTAAAAAATAAAACAAATCAGAAAATCATAACCAACATAGATTTAAAATAAGTAAGTCTTGTAAATTGAATTATTAATGACCTACACAGAAAAAAAGGTTCACTTGAGCCAAGAAAATATTTTTCTTCCTAATTATTTTATGGAGAAAAAAAATTTTTTTTGATAAGAAATTTCACTTATTTCAACAAAATTAATTCTCTTGCTTTAAAAAAATACGTATCTTGATCCAAGAAAATTTATTTAAGTCAAGAAAATTTTCTTATTTTGAGAAAAATTAGCCTTTCGCTCCAAAAAATTAAATATAAAGATAGATTCAATATGTACAATTGCACGCTAAAATAATATAAAATAGGTATCAAATATTCAAGAGAAAAATTTTCTCAAGGTGAAAATTTTCTTGAGTCAAGAATTTTGTTCTCCAGTCAAGAAATTTTTCTTTCTGTGTATCTAATAGATGCATAATTTTTTTTTTTTTTGACTTAAAAATTTCCTTTATTCATATTTCAAGAGCACAATCATACTTTTTTATCTAATAAGAATTACAGAGTGTTCCCATTTATATAGCTAAAAAATTTTACACTTTTGTAAAATTACATTAGATACATAATGAAAATTTGAAGATTACTTAATTACTCAACTTTTCAGTGTGAAAGAGAAAACTTGAATCTACTTTTCGCCATCTAGTGGACATCTTAAAACTACTAAACTTAAAAAAAATAATCCTTTATTTAAAAAAGTAAAATTATTTATTTGAGACCTTAAAATTTGCAATTCTATTTTTAATTTTGTCGATATAATTTATCGAAGGATTAGCTTATCAAAGTTAAATTTATGACCAAGATTTTAGTCGCCAAAAAGCTTGAATTTAATGAATCCTTCTTGAAATTAAATGCATAAATAAAATTAAAAAAATTAGAATTATTTTAAAAATAAAATTAACAAAATTGCTGGATGAAAGCTAAAAATAAAGCTAACTATAAATTACGAGGGATGAACTGAGAAAAAACTAGTAAAAATGTAAAAGTCTCTTGTGATTGACAGAGAGTTAAGCGCAGAGGGGTACGTTATTTATTCAATGATAACGCTGCAAGCCAAACGGCGTTAAAAAGATAACAGTTTTATGTGTTTTGTTGTGTAGTTTAAGTTTAAAAACCTACAACCTATCACACACTTCTTCACTCACACCTACATCTATATATACAAACTCCTGTATCTCTACTTCTTTTGTATCACATTCCGCATATAGTATGACTTCTCACGAATTCGCGCAATCCACCATTTTGTCTGCGTTTTATCCAGTCCCCCTCTGTAATAATAACTAACCGAGCAAACAGCCGACTTACTTTAGCGTTAGTATGTATAATATGTATCCATGCTGCATCTTTGGTGCATCCCAATGACTCATCACCAATATTTGGCACACCCGCAGCGACAGTCAACAAATAATGCTCACTCTATTAAATCCTCTCTCTGCCCCACCCTTCAATTTTTGGCCTGCATTACTCAGATTACTCATTTGGCTCGTGTTCATGATTCATAATGCTCACTACTTATTACTATTACGCATAACAATTGATTTATGGTCATGACTTCACTAGTCCAAAATTTTGGTACACAATAATGACAAAGTTACAATAGCCAGAATCACTTTTGAGGATTTTTAAAGAAAGTAAGGATTCATTTTTTATCTTAGGGATTTTTTGTTTGACCAGAAATTGACATGTGTTTACTCAAAGCAATTTTTGATCTTTTGATTTTTGGAATTTTAAAATATTTAGAATATATATTTAGATTTTTTAACAGTTTTAAAACTTAAAGAAAATATTTGAAAAATATTTCAAATTTTTTTTTGCTTATTAATGGAAGTAATTTTTTTTAATAAAAAAATCAAATTAAAGGACCAAATTTGTTTTAGAATTTATTTTTCTACATATGGAATTAAATAAAAATTTTTGGATTTGAAAAATTCTAAAACTATTGTTTTAACAATTTTTGATTTGATAATTTGAACCAGATTTTAATACACAGAAAAAAAAGGTATTGAGCCAAGAAAATATTTTTCTTCCTAATTATTTTCTTGATCCAAGACAATTTATTTAAGTGAAGAAAATCTTGTTGTTTTGAGAAAATTCAGCCTCGAAGCTCCAAAAAATTTAGTTCTTGATAGAAGTAAATTTTTTTGTCTTGAGAAAATTTCTCTCTTGCTCCAAAAAATTAAATATATATAAAGATAGAAGTAAATTTTCATTAATATTTTTATTGATTATAAATAATATTTTATCATTTTTTTTCATTTAATATGTATAATTTCACGCTAAAATAATATAAAGTGGGTATCAAATATTCTCGAGAAAAATTTTCTCAAGGTGAGAAAATTTTTTTCTCAGCTGAAGTAGGCGCTGCTTCCCTAAAGTATCTAAAAATCTTGATCAAATATAAAAAATTATTGTATCAAGTATTTATGATATAATTAAGAAAAAATGACGGACCAAGAATAGAATTTCAAGAAAAATTTTTACTTCGGCCAACACAACTTCGGCCTTCCTTCAGGCACCCGACAAATTTTCTCCAGCCAAGAAATTTTTCTTTCTGTGTATTTATTTTTTAAATAAAAAAATCAAATTAAAGGACCAAATTTATTTAAGAATTTTTTTTCTACATGTGGAATTAAATAAAAATTTTTGGATTTGAAAAATTCTACAATTATTATTTCAACAATTTTTGATTTGATAATTTGAACCAGATTTCAATAGATATATTATTAAACATATAAAAAAAACTATTTGCGCAAAGTAATTGTCAATTTTTTTGGTTTAATCAAGAATAAAGCTGTTTTTAAACTCAGATAGGAGGGCTGATAGGCGCCTACGATAGGTCGGGAGTGAGCCTGAGCGTTGTCAAAATAAACATCGCACTATCGCTATTTATCTCGTTTCCCATGATAATATATGAGATAAAACTGCATCATCACATTAGCAAAGTATCTGCTAAAATGATTATTTCAGTCGAGCCACAGCGGCCATATGTGCTAACAACCCTCTTGTATCAGCTACCCTCCTGCTCGTATTTATACAAGCCCAATGTACATCCTCATATACGTACGTCAAAATTTTATCCATACGTTCTAAAATTTTAATCGTTGAAAATTCGTGAAAAAAGTGATTTTATTATACGTAATTATACAGTGAATTTTTTGAAATAAATTACTAAAATTGTATTTATTTATTTTACGATGAATTTTTTTTAATTAATTATTTTATTAAGTGTGTGTAAGTATTATTAAAAAGTAATGATTACGTCACTAGTTTATCTACGATCTAGTAAATTGTAAAAAAAATTCACGTTATCATAAAAGATACTTGTCAACAAAACTTCGTACATTCTTATTTCTATATTATAAATATATATATAAGTATAAATGTATGAAAAGACACAAAGTTTAAGACTTTGTGTCTTTCATTTGTTAGATCTTCAAGTGGATCAAGATATCAGCGAATAAATATCGATTCTTTGTAAAATAATTGTTATTTTTAATTTTATAAATGTATATATATTTGTTGTTTTTTTATATTAATGTACGTGATCGATGACGGTGTTTGTAGGACAAAAGTCCAAGAACTTATTCCACAGAATTTCTTAGTAATCGCGATTTTAGATAACAATCAATTTTTATTAAGTAAAATAATAATAATAAATAAATAATATCTTATAGAACACAAAATTCCTTTTTAAATAAGTATTACTTAAATGACTAGATTATAATTTAAAAATATTAACCGTGCACAGAAAAAAAATTTCATGACTGGAGAACAAAATTCTTGGCTGAAAAAAATTTGTCGGATGCCTGAAGTCATTTTTTCTTAATTCAAATTATCATAAATATTTGATACAATAAATTTTTATATTTGATCAAGATTTTTAGATACTTTAGGGAAGCAGCGCCACCTATTTTAGCTGAGAAAAAAATTTTTTCGCCTTGAGAAAATTTTTCTCGAGAATATTTGATACCCATTTTATATTATTTTAGCGTGCAATTTACATATTGAATGAAAAAAAAGATGAAATATTATTTGATCTTCCCATTTGACATGTTAATCAATGAAA